ACCGAACGAATGAATTTATTTCCCCCGAATGCAACGCCTGGCGCATTTGATCCTTTAGTTTCACAATCGATCGTGAGTTCCGTTAATTGTTTGTTCAATTGCAAATGATTAAAATCGGACTACGGATGACTCGTTCAAACAAGGCTTTTGCCAATGTATGTACTCGCATGCAATGCAAATGCATCGAATCTGCAGTCTAATTACACTCGGATGATGATATTTTAAATGCACTGTTTAGTAAAAAAAAACACGCGTGTAACTGATAAACATAACGGATTGCTAACATATAAATTCGAACGTATAAATTCATTCCAAGATAATTTTCACAGAAAATTATTTTCACGTCATTTTCACGTCATTTTCAGAAAACTTGTTCCACACAAAAAATTGAGAATACGAAACGCACCGTTCGAAGATTTAGCCTGTCGTTGTAACAACAAGAAATTCCACATATAGATACTGTAATATTCGCAAGCGACGTAATATTAATCACCGATTTATCGATAGGTTGTATTAAAATGAATCGTTGCTGATACTTGAATCGTCGCTCGAACCAGCGACCCTTAATTATACGGAATTATATTAGTAATGCACGTTATATTAGAAAACATAAAAATCATTAACCGTTGTCGTAACGATACAATAAATGCTTTTGTTTTTACCACTAACTCGCTATGATACATGATGCTTCATGGTCGACGTTAACTACACGACGTAACTTATATACAATTGTGCGTTGGTATATTAATACGTCATAAAAAACTCGTACATAATCGGTTTCGTTAAATTGTAATAGAGCACGAATTGAGCTGAATTTGTTGTACACGGATCTTGCGTTTCGTTCGTCGGCCGTGACAGAGATACAGTAAATTCGCGAATCAAGTGATCCATCGAATCATCGGATCATCGGATCATCATCACGGATCATCGGGCCTTTTCTTTTACGGATTCGTGTTACGCCGATGATCGAAACTTCACAGTGCAATTTCGAAGCATGCGGCGCCTGTTTTATCGTTCCAATAAAATTGCACTTGATCGTAATCAAAAATCGAAGGTACGGTTATTATCATTTCGTTATTCGTTTAGAAAATAATGTATGGTAAAATAATAAAGATCCGAATGTTGTTACACATTCGAAAGAACGTTATTATCACAGAGAATATTTATTCTCAATTTTACTGATTTGTATTTCTCACCGCAAATCGAAGACGAAGTATAATTTTGCATTTGTTAACGTTTTTACTTCTCGCTGCCAAATAAGGAATTTAGTATATCTCTCTCACCAATTGTGAATCACGGTTTGTCATAGCGCAATGAAATGAACAATTTCAACGAAATTTGTTCAAAAATTGAACCAGTCAACGCTGTGACATCGGCAAATTACGAACACACCCTCAATGTTGCACAATTATTAACAGCAGCAAATGTGTACAGAATTATCGAAATCAATAAAACGGATATCGAAGAAAGCATAAATTCGATCGTCGATGGCAACTTCTGTGCAACAAATTATACAGAATTTGTCGGATTATTGACGATAGTAAATCATTCTGCGCAGACACGCATAAACAGAATTACACAAGCAGGGTGCAAACAGAATCTTACTGATGAGAATTTGTCTGCAAACTTGTCGTCAATAAAATAACCCCTTCGGAAAATCAATATTTTCGTCTGCAATTTTCAAGTTCCTGCGATGGATAGAATTCTCAAACGTCTCTCGTGCCATAAATTCGTACAACACTTAATTATTTGTTCGCTCCAATTTGTTACTTTGTTTTATCGACACGCGATCCTCGACGTAAACATTTCTCTACTTCAATTAGCTTTTCTCGTCTTCCTATATAAACGCACGACCCTTGGCGCAGATATTTTTTTAAACCCAATTTTCCTTCATTATCTTCTTTGTTACACCGACACACGGTCGTTCATATAAATATCTCTCTACTTGCGAATTTTCTTCTATCAATTTCCTCGTTGTTGCGACGGCACGCAAATCCTGGACACGAAACAAAGAGAAGGAAAGATTTTTTCCGATATTCGCCAATCGACTTCAATCTTTCGGAAACCGTCGCGCGCGATTCGAAAATTCCGTCGCCGGGAAATAACGTTGTTCGCGCCCGTCGCGGTATTAAACGGGAAACTTTTTTCATCAGCGGTCTTTAATTCCCTTAAAATGTACCCGCTAACATCCACCGATCACGCGGCAACATTGTTCGTTCGTTTCGCCGCGTGAACCAGTTACGAAACTAGCGCACGGAACAGAAATAAAATTCGATAATGGAGTTTTTCATCCGGGATCCTTGCCTTCGCGATCTGTAACAATGCCGTCGACGCGGTTTCTTTATTTCGCGCGGCTCCGCGGGGCTGAAACGGCCGGTCGACGGACGATCTATTTCAAGCAATTACCAATGATTGATGAAGACACTTTGCATTTCATCATTTTCATTCGAATCGATTATTTCCCGTACGAATTCTTGCTCGAGTGAAATCTTATTCGGACACATTTTTATCCGATATTTATTCGACGGTGTCGACATTGAATTGCATTCGTTAGTGTTTATCTCTTGTCAGTGATCCGAATCAAATTTTGTCCAACTCCGATAGGTACATAAACGGCCCGTAGCACCTACAATTATCACGAAAAATTGAAATAACTCGAACAATAGCCGAGCTCTCGAGCTGAAACTTTTGCCGCAGTCTGCGTACACGATGTCGAAGAGAATCGGTTACGGATTTTTCAATCCGACCTGTTTTTCCACGGCAAAAAATCCTTTTCATTTGTCAGAAAAATTAGTTGACGAGAGAGATAATTCGCTCGTGATCCGAATCAGCGTAAAAGCCGCTGTCATGAATGCGCAGTTCGAAAATTTTATCTGGAAAATTACCGGTTGATTTTTGCCCGAATGCCCTTCGTTAACGAAATTCGCGAATCGCGTGATCGCGACGACGTTCTTTCAATTTTTCGTCGAATTTGTAATAATAATATTCCGTTGTATGGTACAAAAAGAATGATGAATTGAAATAGTATTTTCTTGGAACGTAACGGAAATAATCATTTTCGTTTGTCAACCTTTCTGTGAATTATTTGAAATTCTCTTTGTTACGATTAATATTTATGAGAGAAGACAATTTCGCAGAGAAAACTACGAACACGCGTTGTTCTGGAAAATAAGCTTCCTCTCTTATACTTCTCTTAATTAATGAATGCAAACTTCATCGGAATTATTCATTTGCTCAAGCTACATTGTTCCCGATGATCGATCACGACGCGAAATATAATTGAAAATTGTTACGTCTCTCCGCGGTGTTTCCTGAAACAGAGTTATCACGTTGCAAAATGTGTCGCTTTGCAGTACTCGTGTTCGCGTCCGCAGTTACTTGCCCGCAGTTTCTCTTACTTTCGCACGAACCAGTGGCATACCGTATGCATTCACGCATGGAAATGAGACACACGGAATTCTACCCGATATTCGCTAACATGTCCTGCCGATTTCAAACAATATGAATTACATCGAAAAAATTACGGTTCGCTTTAACGCACGTCATTTCGTCCCGAGCACATAACAAAGACACGAAAATTCCAGACGAAAATAATGCTGCACGCGCAGTCGTACGGCTCGCAACATTACCGTTACACTTGCCTCGTTCTTTTCGAATTGCAACAACGAGACTGCGGATTTTCTGCATTCGCGAGAAAAAATGCGCGAACGAAGCACGAAACACTGACTGCTGTTACAAAAATCGAATTATTCGATACTACATGATTTACAACTAGACTGCGGATTTGATTCGTTTATCGTGAAAATTAATAGATGAAATTTAACACTAAACCAACCGACCTGTAATGACGATCAGCGTGCATTGACCCATAAGAGTGAAAAGATAGAATTCGCTTGGATTTTGTGAAGTTTTCATTATGAGGCTTGTTTTCAATAATATAATTTATTCAATCATTTTCCACGAAGAAGTCTCCAAAGTTCGCAGCATCGTAAAATAAAAAAATCGGTCATTTCGACCGTGGTAGGTTTAGTGTTAAAAGATCGGACAAATTCTAAAACCTTAACATTGTTCATGAATTATTTTCACCATACTGAACTGACTAAAGAAAGAAAGGAACTCCTATTTGGTTCTCGTTTGCTGCAATTGATAAAAGAACACTTTTATCATCGCACAAAGATCCGCAGTCTGTTTCTAACTCATTTACAACTAGACTGCGGATTTGATTCGTTTATCGTGAAAATTAATAGATGAAATTTAACACTAAACCAACCGACCTGTAATGACGATCAGCGTGCATTGACCCATAAGAGTGAAAAGATAGAATTCGCTTGGATTTTGTGAAGTTTTCATTATGAGGCTTGTTTTCAATAATATAATTTATTCAATCATTTTCCACGAAGAAGTCTCCAAAGTTCGCAGCATCGTAAAATAAAAAAATCGGTCATTTCGACCGTGGTAGGTTTAGTGTTAAAAGATCGGACAAATTCTAAAACCTTAACATTGTTCATGAATTATTTTCACCATACTGAACTGACTAAAGAAAGAAAGGAACTCCTATTTGGTTCTCGTTTGCTGCAATTGATAAAAGAACACTTTTATCATCGCACAAAGATCCGCAGTCTGTTTCTAACTCATTTACAACTAGACTGCGGATTTGATTCGTTTATCGTGAAAATTAATAGATGAAATTTAACACTAAACCAACCGACCTGTAATGATGATTAATGTGCATTGACTCATAAGAGTGAAAAGATAGAATTCACTTGTAAAGTTATTATTCAGTCACTTATTTTGTAAAGTTTTAATTATGAGACTTGTTTCAATAATATAATTTATTCAATCATTTTCCACGAAGAAGTCTCCAAAGTTCGCAGCATCGTAAAATAAAAAAATCGGTCAGATGTGTATAAGAGACAGATCATTTTCCACGAAGAAGTCTCCAAAGTTCGCAGCATCGTAAAATAAAAAAATCGGTCATTTCGACCGTGGTAGATTTAGTGTTCATGAATTATTTTCACCATACTGAACTGACTAAAGAAAGAAAGGAACTCCTATTTGGTTCTCGTTTGCTGCAATTGATAAAAGAACACTTTTATCATCGCACAAAGATCCGCAGTCTATTCCTAACTCGTTGAAATTACTTATTAAAACGCAAACAAATGTCGACGCAGTTCCTGTGTCCAATTACGAGACGAATTAGCCACGATCGTTTCGGGGAACGGTTTGCCAGTGCTGTGCAATATGACGTCCGCCAACAAAAATCGACCGTCGATCGACGGTATCTCTCGCCGACGATAACGATAATCACAGTAACAAAAAGCGACGATTAACGTTCGCGATCGTAGCGTCGCGCGCAGTTCGACAGAAAAGAAAAAAGTATCCGTTCCGGATACCGTGCCGGGGATGAGCAACGCGGACGCGGCACAATGACGCGTGACGGCGTAATGAACTTATAGCTTCGACGATAATCCGAAGCGTAATGGTTCCGTGATTAGCCGGTTAATCGCATTCTCGGTCGGTCTGATTACACCTGTTATTTATTAATCGCAACTTCCGATTGCTCGAACAAATATGACCATTCGCCGGCCATTCGATTCGCGTCGCGCCGCGATCGCAGCCGTCGATCGCTGATCAGGGAGGATTACGTTTCGCTGAATTCTCCGTGCCACGCGGATTCGCCGTGCGGCACCCGTAGCTGCGCGATGGAAAATAATCGAACGATCGCGGCGACGTTTCGTAAAACAACGAGTGGCATCACGCTCTGTGATCGACGATTCCCTTTTGAAGATCCGGCGAACGGAAAAGGAAGGAACTCACCGACTCGCTTCTCCTGAGAGGGATCCGTCTCGATGGAGCGCGCGAGAGAACTTCTTCACCGATGATCGCTCCTCGACACATCATCGATCGCGATCCTCGATCGCGACACAAACGGCGACGGGTGCGGGTTTGGGGCCGGTGTGAAAGGGGCGAGGGTGGTTCGGGGGGGGAGGGGTGGTACGACTCTACATGTCTTATTGTGTCCGACGATCCATCGAATTTCACCTAACACTCGGGCAATAAGATTCATCGTGTCGAGATCCGGTCTCGTGCTCATACGCACACACATGTTCCCATGCATACGCACACGCACGCGTTCGTGGACAGCTCACTCGTGGACACACGCGCAGACGACACGTACGCGAACACACACATTATCTCAATTGACCCAAAAAGAAGGCGAGCATCACGAGGACCGTCTTCGATGTCGGCGAGCCTGCTGCCGTGTTGCCGTGCTGCATTGCAGCTGGATGCTCCCCTGGAACAAGAACAACAAGCATCGGATTAGCGTCCGGCCTGAACTTCCGGCAACACTTGCGACCAGATTCGCCTCCCACGCGTTTCTACTACGCGATCCCGCCGGGATCGAGTCGCGAATCCCGGTTACAGAGATCTCTACCGTTTACCCTCGTCGTCGCTTTTCTATCGCTCTGTCGCACGCGATCCGACGGGATCTTGATTTATATTCGTGCCTCGGCGCCGCTCTACGAGACTACTCGCAGCAGCGAATCATTCGATGTCGGATTCTACTTATGGCCTGCTTTTTTTCTTTCTATCTACGTTTCCTGGCAATTTCGTTGCTGTCGCGTTCGCGAACTTGCCGAAGTCGCAGCACCAGAAGCAAGCAGCTTCTATTAAACCGAAAATACCCTCGATTGTCGAAGTCGTTTGATCGAGCAAACCGAAACTAGATTGTCAGAGGTTAACGCGGTAGCTATTAGTTTAATCCTTTTGCATTCCGGTAACCTTACCGAAATTCGAGAAGCTCTGAAACTTTGGGGATACGTAGAGCATATGCGGATATATGTGTATAATATTATAATATATGTGTATATAGTTGTGTGAGTTGTTATGAATAGTGTTAGTAGTTTAGTAATGGTATAATTTTGAATTCGTTGTGTGTAAATTATGGTATTTTATTCGAGTTTAATTTATGGTATTTTATTCTATCCCATTTTATTTCATTTTCTTGTTTTGTTTTATTTTATTTTATTTTATTTTATTGCATTGCGTTATGTGATGTATAAGGAGATGGACCACTTGTGTCTACAGTGTAAATTCTCCCTAATTGACACTCAGATTGTACACAAAAATTGACAATTTGGGAAGAGGAGATACGATTATTCGAGCCTTGCGGCTCGTTTTTATAGTTATCGATTGTCAACAACTATACAAATACTCGTATCTCCTCTTTCAAAATGGTCTATTTTTATGCACCTTCAATTAGAGAAAATTTACTGTATTAAGTACGCAGATATGTATATAGGATGTCCCGAAATTATTGTACAAGCGAGAAATGAGGGGTTCCTGAGATCATTTGAAGTAACTTTTTTCTTAGCGAAAATGCAATCCGCGGCGCCGTTTACGAGTTATTAACGAAAAACAATGACCAATGAGAGGCGAGATTAGCTGGCGCGAGGCGGCTGAGCCAATAAGTGAAATTGGACTTCGTGGTCGCGAGGGCGGGGCGCCAGCCGAGCTCGCCTCTCATTGGTTACTGTTTTTCGTCAATAACTCGTAAACGAAGCCACGGATTGCATTTTCGCTAAAGAAAAAGTTACTTCAAATGACCTCAGGAACCCCTCATTTCCCGCTTGTACAATAATTTCGGGACATCCTGTATATGCCATCCGCAATTTATATAATTTATATTACATAAATTCGCTTTAAGGGATGGAAATTAACCCTAAAATATTCTGCCATTTTTGATACTATTACTGCAAGCTCATTGTTTCGTATAAGTATATTAATTTGTTCAAATGATTTTGTTAGAATATACAACAACAAAAAACAACACCGTAAAAGTAATACGGCAATGTCATTAACGTTTGCGAATACGCGTGTCTCCTAACAGTTTAGAAATGCGCAAAAACGCCATAAATGCACAAAGACCCGCGGTCTACCAACGAGTATAATACATTTATTGTTCGTAGCGTACTATTTGCGAATGCTGCGAGGACAGCGAAACGAAAGGGAGTAAAGCATTTAACGGACGGAGACGCGTTAACAAACGGAATTGAATGTGTATGCGGGGAATGTTCTCGGCCGCAGTCGCATTCTTGATTGATTTCTCGATAATTGCCGCCCGGTGGAGTAATGTTCGTTGACGGGATAAGCCAGAGAATTACTGCTATCGGCTACGGGAGAACCATGATGTATACTAGATTAGATGTCCATTTCGTATAGGCAATTAGATGGTAATTGCATATAGCAGATTTCAGTGTTCCGGGGATAAATCGAAGCGGATCCTGGGCACCCTTTAAATGGATCAGGTATTTTAAGCACGCAACTTGCTCGTCGTAACCCTTTGAACGATTTAGGCAGTTGATGTCGCAGATAAACTGTAGAGGAAATAAGTAATAATTGAGCCGTTTATTTTGAAAGTGGCATAAGTCACTTTGTTTTTAAGTCGATATATTTAAGGGTTTGCGTTTTAACACGTTTAAAAATATGGATGCTAACTTTGTTATCTCAGGTTACTGATATTTTTCACAGTATAAATAATTTCGTATAAACATTAAAGAATCACCGCTTTTCATTACGGTAAAGTGACTTATGCCACTTTCAAAATGAACGGCTCAATTGACAGCGTTGAAATTAGTAATTGACAAGCATTATTGGTTTTGATTAAAGTTAAAAGTAACACTCGAAAAGTGAATCACGGTAAATAATTTCCTTTTAATTTTTTAGATCAGGGAAGTATTTCGAACACGTTCATTATCCGTGGATCTTTCTGTAAGATAAAATTTGTCCAAGATAATTACAAGAAGCAGAAATCAAATAAAAATAAATTGTTTCTTTCGATAATTTTGATCGGTCAAAAATAGTCAACCGATACCGAAAATATTCTTTCGCATACATAATAAATATCCATCGATTTCGTAAGAGTATTCAGTGCCGGAAGCAGCGCGTCGCGCGAAGATGCTATAATTTACGGGAACCGGAAGCGTTTGTCGAACTCACCCGGACGCATCTGTTGCATACTCTAATAGTCTAATGGATACCGAAATACCCCGTCAGGACAAGCCGTTCGCCGATAATAGAATATTTAATTATTTTCACGGGCCAATGAAATCTCGCCGATGCTACGTGAAACCCGTACCGAATGCTTTTAATTATCGACGTTAACTAATTATATTTTCGGCGGTGTGCGGCTCGTAACGATGCGCAATTCCCGGCACGAGTATTCCAACTGGAAACATCGAATTACTCGTATGATGTCTGTCCGACGCAATTCCATAATTAACCATCTAATCGATGATCTAATTCCTGCTCTGTCGCATTGGTTTAAAGGGGGAGGTCGCCGCGGCGACTGGCGTCCTTTGAAATTGACGGTCTCAGCGATAAACGTCGTCGTCTTCGTCGTCGTCGTCGTCGTCGTCGTGCGTCTTAATTCCCGATGCAAAATTCATGTCGACGTTCGAACTGACGACGACGATCGCGCCGATCGATCGGCTCACGAAGGAATTACGCGTTTGCCATTTCCTTTACGTCCGTTTAATCTTCTTGCTTTTATCTTAACACCCTGTACTGCTACGAGTTCGGCTCGCGATGAAAATTTCATTCTTGATCGATTAAATAGTTGTTTATTTAGTTATTTCAGTGTTGGGCATATTTTATTCGAATAACGAATAATATTTATTATATAATATTATATAATATTTATTATTCGAGGAATTTATTCGATATATTCGAATACAATTTTATTCGAAGAATTTATTTGATATATTGTCCGAATAAAATTTCATTCGAGGAATTTAATCGATCAAATATTTATTTATTTATTTCAGAGTTGGGCATATTTTATTCGAATAACGAATAATGTTTATTATATAATATTTATTATTCGAGGAATTTATTCGATATATTGTTCGAATAAAATTTTATTCGAAGTATTTATTCCATATATTATCTAAATAAAATTTTATTCGAAGAATTTATTCGATATATTGTTCGAATAAAACTTATTCCATATATTATCCGAATACAATTTTATTCGCAATATTACTCCGACAAAATTGTATCCAATGAACTTATTCGATGTATTATTGGAATGAAATTCTGTTCGACGAATTTATTCGAATAATGCCCAACTTCGATCTGCATGCGTTGCTCATAAAAAGTTCAGATCAGAACACGATTTGTTGGCTTCGATGCATTATAGTGGACTGGATGAAATAACAAAGCAGATCTTAATGATCTCGACGGTGCATAAAAATTGATGGTGCGTAAATACGAACGTTAGTCGTTTCTTCCTTCTTATAATAACTACTATAATAATAACGAGATATTATATCGAGTATTGCAGCATAAATTAACATACATAAAATAGTCGAAAGCCTCGTTACTTCCAAGAACGTAAAAAAATGCACAAAATACCATGGAGCTCTTTGCAATTTTCATTTAACCACCGATTAATGGCGAGCATCAAATCGACGACCCACCAGCCCCGAAAACAAGCTATAAAAAATCTGATCACCGCTCAAAAGTTAATTCACTAAAATACATTAATTGTACACATTCTTTTTACATATTCGAGGCTCTTCAAGTCGAACAAAGTACTGGTGGTCGTAGCTCCGAACGAAATCGTGCGGCAAGGTTTGAACACCGGGATGGGAACAATAAAAATAATTCGAACGACGAAAAAGTTGGTCGCGGCAAAGCAATCTCGCTTCGCACTCGAGCGCACTCTCGATTCGAACTTATTCTCGGTATTGATTGCATATGCAATGAGTAGCTGCGAACGCAGCAACGCGGCACGATCCGGGAACAATAAAGCGCGACGTCCGCGGCAGACGATCCGAATCTCATAAAGCTGGTTCGAAACGTGCTACTTGTAAATTTGCGGCCGCGTCCGTCGCGCGCTCGCAATATTTTCGGATGAGATTACCACGTAAGGGGTGCGCGCCCCGTTACAGAGGCCACCGCGGCGGAGCCTCGTCACGAGCCCCTGCACGTGACATAAATCGTATTGCGCGTGATGTGCAACTGTAAGTAAGCCGTGCGTCGAAATTAGCGGAGGCGGGCCAGCCAGCACTTGTCTCCCGCGTTCAAAATACAATCGGAATTTTATTTCGCCGCGCGGCGCCGCGGACGAAACCGCGCCCCTGGGAACAAAAAAAAAGAAATACAAGCCGGCCGGTGGCTCGCGATAAATCACACGGCCGTTCCCGCGATAAATAATACATTTAAAGTTTACGGGGCCACTTTCGGCCTCGGCGCTGGCTGCCCGTGAAATTACCGGTGAATACACGTCGG